CTAAATGGCTCTAAACCACCTCCAGGAACCCAGAGACATCAAAATAACGCAATGCAAACACAAGGTAAGCCATTTTATTCAAATTATTTTCTACACGAAGCATTTAGAGTAATTTTCGAAGCATTCTCATACATTGTCTTATAAACGGCTAAAATTGTAACGCAATCGCCAACAGCATAATGTCACGTATTAATCGTATTCAACGTCTGGGCCGCCTGTGTTTACATCAATGTCCCCGAGTTGTCTCGTGGACCGAGACAACTCGGGTGGACGAGTGCGGGTATGGTAACCCTGGCAGGTGGGACAACTTTTTCTCATATAAACACCTTGGCGCGCTTAACCAAGACAACTTACGGTGTGCCGAATGTTCCGTAAGTAATCCCACAGTTTTATGTTTTAAAGTAGAAATTTATATTACATATGTAAAAATTAGTTCAACGGAGCCCATTATATGATCGAATGACAAAGGAAACCCAAAGAAACAAGGATAACTACGCATTCGAATATCTAATAAAGGCTATGAGAATAATCACGCAGAGTCAACTTCTCGGCCAGCAGGAAAGGACGATTTTTTTCTCAAATAGGCGCTCAATAAAGTTTCCTTGGGAAAGGATTGTCTCGGGTACCCGAGACCATATCAAAAGGGCATGAAGAGAGGAAAATGTCCCATTTGATAGGAAGATCGAAGGAGACTCTGCTCGAAGGTAAGGAAAATGGCGTTGCTCGCCGAATTTTTCTCGGGCTCACCCGGAGCCTGTCCACTCGCTAAGCCTCACGAGACGATATTTTCCTGCCGGACAAGTCTTTTGGACACAACAAGTCTCCTATTTGTTTAGAATATTTTAACCAGCTGGCGACTGCAGTATCCGTGATGATGAGCAGCATAGCCGTGGAAATGTTCATTAACCTTTTGAAGCGAAAAGGGAGACTTTGTTTTTGCACCAGTGGTTCCTTTTTAAATGAATTTATATTACTCATTGAAATCACGATCTCTTTTCTGATTGGTCGAAAGCGTACAGTGAGTTTTCGAAATCAGCGCCTGTGACTTCATCTCTACAGATTATACAACAATCATGTCAAGGACGCTCAAGGTCACGGGTAATCATGTCAAGTTCGCGCGCTTTTTGTTGCTTGCCGTCAGTGAAAAACATGACTTACATTTTTTTCGTCCAATGTATAATAAAACAATTATTAGATTCGGTTTTTGTGATATCCAGAATAATCAAGGTCTCGGTAAGGGTTATCAGCCTCAGCCTTCGGCTCAGGCTGATAACCCCTACCTCGACCTTGATTATTCTGGATATAACGAAAACCTCATCTAATAATTGTTTAGAATATGCAAATTTGCCGGAAAAGCTGTGTGAGGGATTATCGTTTTGCGCAAGGAACAAGAGCAATGCTCAATTTGTTATCAAAATAGAAAAACTCTTAGCTACAAAATAAGGAAAATTGAAACTGAAAATTACCTTAATTCACCCAGAATAACTTTAAACCTAATTGAGCTGAGCGAATCTCCATTAATGGCCTGCGAGGTAACGAGTGTCAATTGATTTTTGATATCCAAACTTGACAGAGAAACTTCAAAGCAACCAGTGGGAATTTCAATGAAACCTCATACTGTTTGGAAGATTAGCCCCTTGTGATAGATTTAATACAGTAGTTTGGTTCACTGTTATAGACTAGCAGAAATTCAATAAATACTAGAAGCTAATTAAATAACAATATTTATTATATAAAAGTAAGTGGTATACCTAGCTAGTAGTAGCAAATTGATAAATATATAGAGGATTTTACATGGCCGCGCGGAGATAAGAAATTTCTCCTAAAGTGTTGAGAAATATTTCGCAAGTGATCGCAGCGAACGTGTGAAATATTTCTTAACACGAGAAAGAAATTTCATATCTCCAAAAGGCTATGTAATGTTCTATTTATTATATAAACACCAATGAAACCCCAGACCACTAAACCAAACCTATACCACTAACTTTGATATAATAAATCATGATTGTTATTTAATTGGCTCCAAGTACTCGTTTTGAATTTTTGCTGGTTGTGTAACTGAAACCAGTGGTAAAAAGTGGTTTCTCTGCGTTTTAAAGTTCTCCTTTTTATCTCGCTCGAGTCTTGCAACTTCTGCCCAAATTTCCTTGTTTCAACTACAACGACGGTATTTTCATGTAATTATTAGAAAAGCTTTTATGAAACCAGCTGTTTCAACGCAACGACTCTTTTTCAAAGACTCTTTTTCAATGACAATCTTCATTTTTCACAGTAAATCTTTGTTCCCTTGACATCAACATTATTGTGTTGCTTATTTAGGTCTATTTAAATTATATTTTATTTCTCCGCGTCCTTCTGCCGCTTCATATATATCTGTCCTTAGTACGTTAAACATTTGATTTTACGTAAGCAGCTTGACGAGAGATATGACTTCATCAACAAGGTAAATAACCTGTTTTGCTCTGTTTTAGAAAACGTCTTGGTAGAGAAACAATGTAGATTGCGAAAAGTCTCTCTTTTTCTCGAAAATCCGCGGGGCAGAACGCTGCGTGTTGCGCGCGTTTGGCCACCCTGTTGCGAAGTGTTGCGACATATTGTGTCTTGTTGGCTAAAGTTTGAAAACGGTCAAATTTGAGCCAACAACACCCAACATGTCGCAACACGTCGCAACATGGTGGTCAAACGCGCGCAACATGTAGCGTCCCACAATGTTGCGATATGTTGCGTTGACATGTTGCGATCGTTTCGCTTGGGCTTAACTCTTGTTTTCAGTACTTTTTACTAGCTTTATTTAGAAATAACCTTATTTTGCACCACACCCAGTTGACAAATCATCTCGTGTCACGAGACAGACGTTAAAATGTTACGATGTTTTTGATTTATCGTATCACGACACTACTGGTCTTTAAACACCCCAAGTTTCAGGAATTCCTCTTAAATACCTTCCAAAGTAGAAATGTTGGTGTGAAGTCAGTCGGTACAAAAGTAGACATCTGAGAAAAATTGCACTTAAAGTTTGTTACACGATGGATCATTTGACAACACAGAAATTCGTTAAGGGGCGGGGGGTACAGGTTGCATCTCGGAGCAGAGGGGGGTTGTAATGATTGTTCTATTTTGTAAAATGTTACCGCAGTTGTAGGAAATACTCCTTTCATAAGGGAAATGAATGAGCCCGCGGTGATGATTCAGGCGACGCTTTTCACTAGTAATTACATCTATCGAATTGTCCATGTCTTAACAGCATTGCTACAAAGTACCGTTCATTTATGTCAAAACTTATCTATATTTGGGGTCATTTTATGACTGAAAACGTCCGTTGCTATGGCCGTTGCTCCATAAAAAATATATATATCACTGCGTGTTTTCCTTGAATTTCATACTCATCTAGACGCAAATTCGGCAAGATCGTTTCAAATGTTCTTACAAGTGTTCAAGAGTTTTAAATCTTATATTTTCAAAACTTGAATTTTTCTTGAACATCGTCATATTTTAGGGTACCATTCCACCTCAGAGGAGCTACAGGTACTTCACCACAAAAATTGGCATCTTAAAAAAAAATGGACCTACTTTTTCAAGTTTGTCTTTACCATGTTGGCCTGAGAAAGGGAAGATGCAAAATACCGGCATCACTATTATTACTGCAATAAACCACCCACCTTCCTTTCAGACAATGTGTAACTATTTCAAACACTCTCTATCGCGCCCAGGGTGGAAATCTTACCCCCTATATCTAGATTTTGCCTTGCATTGGTAATCTTTGATTCTATTCCGAATGAAAATGATTTACTGTTTTCGTTTCAGTTGTCGTGGTAATGGTATATTGCTCCGTGTCTTGTTTATTTGCGCCCTCGGTGCGTTCCTTATCATATGTGCGGAGCTGACAATTTTGGTGCATATGCATCAGCAACAATATAAAGATGAACCGAAAGTGAAAACTTGGTCACACACTTGCGTAGAAACTGGCATTTCAGTACTAAATGATCAACAAGAGTTAAAGTCTACAGTGAAATCATTGGCCGAGAGAACGAAAAGGTTGAACGTAATTATTTTGACCCACATGAGTTCTGGCTCGTCTTTTTCTGGGAACATATTTAATCTGCATCCAGATGTCTTCTACCTTTACGAGCCACTCCATGATCTAAGAAGAGTTGTCTATGAAGACGAGTGGCAACCGTTAGATGACCAGACAAACAAGGCGTACACAGTTCACTTTGCAAGTCTGCTTCGTGATCTTTTCACATGCACGTTTAGAGAAGAGACCACCTTGGCAAGAATTTTTCCTCCATTTCTGAGGGACCCAAAGCGCCTCGCCTTCATGTACTGGCGGCTGTTGCGTCCAGAGTTAACAAATGAAGTAGTGAGAGAAGCTTGCACCGCGAAGAAACTAACGGTGGCAAAAATCATGCAAACTAGGCTGCCAAGGGAAATTGGAATTCAGGAACTTAAGCGGTTCTGTAGCTCTGATCCTAATCAGTTCGATTGCCTGATCATTCATCTAGTGAGGGACCCTCGAGCAGTTCTTTCGTCCTTATTGAGGCGTAAATTTTTTATCAAGGATTCCAGAAGGCAACTGTTTGACTCAAAGAATTTAACAGCAGAAGCAACTGAAATCATAAAGCAAAACTCGCAGTTGATATGTTCCCAAGTTGTGGATAATTTAAACTATGTAAAGGAGGTTTGGCCAAGTTGGTTCCAAGGGCGGTACAAGCTCGTTCGTTATGAAGACATTGTTACCAATGCTTTGAACATGATGGAAGACATGTACAATTTTGTTGGTATCCCCAAGGTGGATTCCATTAATAAGTGGATTGTGGAAGGAAAAACTCTCGTAAACACGACCAGAACGCAATTTTCCGAGAACGACGCAAGCAGGATGGATCACTGGAGATTTGACCAAGATCCCTCGCTAGTGTCTTTGTTCGAAGAGGCCTGTATCCCACTGATGAAACTAATGGGGTACATTTCGGTTTATGACTCTGGTCAGATAAACAATAGCAAGCCGCTGATAGCTAAGGAAATACCATTATTGAAAGAACTGTCAACCAACTAAAGTACAACGAAAAAGAGAATCCTTCAAGTAGGGAGGCCGCTACTTTCCTAGAAACGACAATCGTGTTAACCAAACTGAAGGGTCCTTTAAAAGCTATTTAATTTTGCTGAATGCTTAAACTAAAATGGGTGAGGAAGATACAATAGTTATGTTATGGGGAAAGATAATTGTTTGTTTTTTTTAGATAATTATGCTGTAAGAATGAAAACTTTTTTAAGAATTTCTTCTTTCACATATGTTGTTTGCCACGTTTCTTTCGTCTTTTCCGGTTGGCATTTTTAACTATGTTAAGTATATTTGAAGTATATTGTTTCCTTTGTTTCAGTGGCATGCATGTAAACTAGCTAAGCTTAGTACTTGC